GGATACGCATTTCTAATCTTTTCTTGTAGGTCAGCACCTACATCTAGATAAGTCACAATAGCACCGAAAAAGTCTGATCTACGACTTAGTGCATCAGCAACAACGTTATACTTACCCTTTACTGGCTTTAGCTCAAAGTCAAACATATCAATCTCTGCAGCCCACCTTGTCAACTTAGGTGTCATTCGAGCTTGCGTTTTGAGCCAGCGAAGTGTTTCATGGTCAGAGTATACTTTAAAATGCCTTCCTCGAAGGTAATGTCGCCAATGATTGAGAGCCTCGCGCAGAGCATACAACTCTCGTTCATACGTTGAAGCGGCCACCTTCTCGGTAGGTAAGCGGCAAGACATAAACTCTACAGGTCTGTACCCATGCCCATCATCTTGCTGGAGTACAGCACGTATACCATATTGACTAGCGTCGGTCGTGACCACGAAAGGTAAGGAAGGGTCCGCCACTTTCAAAACCGGATAATTGATCAAACACTTTTTCAGACGTTTAAAAGATATAGTGCAGTCTGAATCCCACTTCCAAATTACTTCTTTCTTAAGCAACCGGCGAAGGGGAGCAACTATTATCGTAAAGTATCTCACAAACTTGCGATAGTAGTTGGCTAACCCAAGGAACGATCGCAACTCAGTTAGGGTGCGGGGGTTCGACCAATCTCTGATTGCTGCTATCTTGGCATCTTCCGGTTTGACCCCATCTCCATCAATCACATGTCCTAGGTATAGCACCTGACGCTTAGCCCATTCACACTTCTTTGGGTTTAACTTGAGTTTTGCTTCTCTCAATTTATTTAGCACAAGTCGAAGGTGCTCAGCATGTTCCTTTTCATTTTTACTAAAAATCAAAATATCGTCTAAATAAATCACAACAAACTTGTCGAGCCATTCACGAAAGAGTTCGTTCATCGTTCTTTGGAAAGTGGCAGGGGCATTGGTGAGACCAAAGGGCAAAACTACAAACTCATAATGCCCATACCTTGTTCTGAAGGCAGTCTTATGTTGGTCGTCCGGTTCAACCTCAATCTGATGGTAGCTGGATTTTAGATCAATCTTTGAGAATACTTTGCTTCCCTGCACGCGATCCAGCAAATCGTCTATTCATGGTAATGGTTCAGCATTCTTGATGGTTATGTCATTTAATCTCCTATAGTCTATACACATGCGAACGCCGTCATCCTTTTTAGGCACAAAGAGCACAGGCGCACCATAGGGTGAGGAGCTAGGTCTTATCCAACCATTTTTCAACAACTCATCGAGTTGGGTTCGCAGTTCATCCAATTCCTGGGGCGACATACAGTAGATAGGCCCCTTCGAGGGTGCGCTCCCTGGAACGATATCAATGCGGTGGCGGATTGGTCTTTCCACCACACCGCTTGGGGCCTCAGCCACATCTGCGAACTCTTTCAGGATCCTCTCAATCTCTTGAGACCTGACTTCTTCTTTAATTTCCCCTTCCTTTACTGGGCGCACATATGCAACGAAGACTTGGTCATACAAGTTATATTTCTTAACATGGCGAGCGAACGCTGGGGCACTCATGCAACAGTGAGCTAGGCTGCTTTCCTTTCCAGACTCATGATAGAGGCGAATTTTCTTCTTACCTCCTTGCGGACTGGGGAGCCAACACTCATGTTCTCTCAATTTTAGATCCGTGTGCGCAGCCTCACCCCAATCCATTCCTAGTAACACATCAAAGGGCAAGTTATCCTCCACCAAGAAGGTCAGAAATGGAGAATACATTCCACCTTCCCCTCTGCCTCTAGCCGGAAGTATACGTGAACCCCCTCGACGTATCGATCCATAACGGTTTCACTACTATTAGCTAACTTACTGACAATGGGCTCATTTAACTTCTTAACTTCAAGCCCAAGACGCAGTTTCTGTAACCCCCTTTTACTAATATAGCTGCGTGTAGAACCACTGTCTATCATACCTCCTACTCTGACTCGATTTATTTCAAGATCTGCAATTATGAGTTGCCCTTTCTTCTTTCGCATTTCAATCCAGGCTTGGCGACGAGCGGCCAACTCATCACCCACGCCAGCGAGGGATCCATCTAGAGAGATGCATACGTTTGCCACCTCTGGACAGTGCACTAGATGGGGACTTCCTTCCTCTTCAGTTTCTGCCATTGGGGCCTTTGAATGGGAGGATTCTGATTTTTCAACATTCGAAGCCCCGGTAGAGGCAACTGGCACCTCTACTGGATGTTCCCTTTTGCCCCCCTATAGTCAGGGCAATAGGGGACAATGTGGTCGGGGTCCCCACATTTGAGGCATTGATCTGCCTTCTTCCTTTCGGCCCAAACTTTTTCGGTGATTCCCAATTCTTTCCAACGCTCTCCTTCCAGTAGGCCTGGATGTGGTGGGCATGGCTTGTCCCACTTGTTTTACCATGAGCCTCTTCCTCTACCCCAGGTGGAGTAAGAACCACGGCCACCGTATGAGGGACCATTTCCCCTTCCTCCCACGTAGTGGCTTCCTTCACCACCACCCCTTTGGGTGCCGAATCCTCGTCCACCACGGCCGCGATCTCGTCCTCGGCCACGCCCTCTTCCTTGACGCCCTCCCCCGCGGGCTGCAACAGCCGCGTAACTCCCCTCCTGAGCTACCAGTCTGTTGGGTTCATCGAGACCATAGTCTACCTGATCCCAGGAGATGGTCTCGGCGCCTCCTTCACAGGTTAGAAGGAGACTATCTTTCCCAGGTATAGACCCTGAGATGGTACGGTTTTGGCATCTCTTACCCGCTTGCAGATCCTTCCAGTAATGGCAATAGTTCGCTTCGGCGAGGAAGTCTGCGTGATCTATTGCGATCTTGCCGAACTTCTCATATGCCATTCCCTCTTCTTTAGTGCGGGGATAGAGTTGTGTTCTTAGGGGATCCGGGAGTGCTCGTGCAAAACTGTTTAAGATTTGGGTCGGCGTCAACCCGTGATCAGGGCATTGCAATAGTTCATCCATAGTGGCCTTTAGTGCAGAAGTACTCTTCCATTTCCTATCAGGAAGGCTGAGGATCAACATTTATGTTCGTCTTGCCAAGTTTTTGTCCTCAAATCTCTCTCTTACCGCTTTAAGGAAATCCTCAATACGCGTTTGCTGCGAATACTCTACCATAGAGCTGCATCCCGCCTCCTTTTGCAGCGAGATGGCAAAGCTCATGGCGTCGCCTCCCATGCATGATGTCGCCATCAATACCCTGTCCCAGTACGGAATTCGTTGTCCATACACAAGTTTCAATTGTCGCCGCCCAGTGCAACACACTTTCTTCTTTCTTTCCATTATAGGTCCATGACAGTTTAAGCTTTATCTTGTTGACTTGCCCTGTTTCCTGTGGAAGCTTTTCCTGTGGATCCCCAATCTTCTTCTTCCCTTTCTTGTCATCGTCGYCGTCGTCATCACCATCTCCTCCTCCGCCTCCAGCGCCCTTCACAATCTTTTCTATGACTTCCGGAGTAAAGGTCTTAGTAACATGGCCCTCCAAGGCCTGGATGTAAGTTTGAACATGATGGTCAAATTTTTGCTGACTTTTCCAAAAAGTTATTCCAGATATTTTCAAATTCAAACCGATGCGTTTCAACTCTTTGTAGGGTCTGACGCATTAAGTTCATATCTTGTCTTGTGTGAAGAACTGCTTCTCTAAGTAAAGCTAGCTGAACTTCGGTCGCAGAGGGGTCTTCCTTTTGGGCTTCTAGGGCCCTTTGCAGTTTCTCCCCTTCTGCCTGCAGTCTTTTTTTCTCATCAATTTCTTGTCTTCTAGTTGCTAGCAATTTACTGTGCAACTCAGCCCTTTTTTCTTCCATCATCAAGTTTTGTTCGATTGTGTCAGTGATCGTGCCATCTTGGCAAGGAACACATCACGCTCTTCTTCAGACTCCTTTAGTAATTCGCTGGAGTAGTAGTATTGATTAGCCCAATTCAAGGGTTCAACCGGAAGTCTGGCAGCTGCAGTTTCACTACTCTCCGGTATACCTTGGCGGCGATGTCTTTCCAAAACTTCTCCTTCTTCCTGTTCTTCTTCTTCTTCTTCTTCTTCTATACTCTTTAACTCTTCTTCCAACTCTCTCTCCATCTTTTCCTTCATCTTTTTTCTTGCCTCTTCTTCTTTCCGTTTTTTCTTTGCTTCCCTTTCTTTTTTCTTCTCTGCCAGCCTGCGGTCTATCTCAGCCTGTTCCGCAGGTGTGAACCCAGGTTTTACTGTTCCAGATCTGGTTAACATCCGGGACGTACACGTGCGTCCGAATCCTAGTGGGAATATGAACCTGAACAGTGGGCCCAATAAAACAGAGAGGGCCAACAGGCCCTGGATGGGATAGTCATCCATGATGACTACCGGCACAGGAGACCCTCCGCCGGATCACCAAGATACTATCCCACTTACAGACTTGGTCATATCTTGCGGTAATGGAKTACTATACTTTCCTCTTTTTTTTTTGTTTGATTGTAGAAGGTGCGGCAGGTAACAAATCAAATTAAAATAATGCTTACTTGTTGAATCTGTGTAACCCTTTTTGTTTATGATATGCTGTCTGGCTCCCTGGATCAGCCTTTGGCAATGTGTTTGTCTCCCTCGATATATACTTTTTTCTTTCTTTTACTAACTTGCTGGGTGTCTGATGCAGGTATGGAGTACAGCGCAGAAGGTCAGATGCAGGTAGTTCACTTTCCCACCCAGGCAGAGATACTTCGTATACCCTTTTCTTTCTTTCGGGCTTAACAGGCCCTGTAAATGCTCAATATCATCCTTATGCTGCCTGGTACATGCTATCTGACGTGGCACATAGCCACCTCCCACATCAATCCTTGGTTCTTGATGACGATACCCAGCCTGCCTATCAAGAGGGATAGGAGGGAGACCTACTCCTATTCGCAGAACTTTGGACCACCTACTCTAGTGTGGCCAGTTCCTGACACATCACCCTTGGGTCATCAGACTCTGACGGCTCAGACCTGACAGCTATGACACCCCAGATCCAGACTTCGACTCCAGCCCAGACCAGCAGCAGTCACCTTCAGAGGGTCGGAGAGAGAGAAGGTAGGGGACACACACATGCATGCAGGTTCAGGGAAAGGAGGTGCTTCTCTCTTCTTGAAGATACCGCCGATGATGCTCCACGACGCTCCGCACGCTCCAGGTAAGTAGACTTCACCACTTCTGCCTCGGCCTGCTTCCCCCACTAACAAAACCCTTCTTCTCTTCCTCCCTCCTTCACTCTTCCTCCATCACCACTTCTTCTCGCCGGCCTTGATCAGACCAGCGCTATGAGTGTAGCGAGCATCTGCTCCGATACCAAATTTTGCATGGGTCCTGGGGACCAACTCACGCAAGTGTGTACATGTTATGCATCGTTCTCACACACAATGATCGATAGTCTCAAGTCATAGACAAAGGTAGAGGAGAAGAGGACCGAGTTTCACAGCTTATATTATCAGAAATATGATTACAAAGTGTTTCAAAGTTTCCCTGAGTCCAGCGYTCATCAGCGCAACACAGATCCCTTGTCAACTCATCAATATGGCTTTCCAAGCATCAGCGCTACATCTGCAGATTGTCTCCAAGTCATCAACGTGGTCACTACTCATCAGCGCCACCTCTGCAGTTCACAGCCAACTCAGGTAAGTATCTTCCATAACCAAGCCTTGAATGAACACTCTCTGCCTCAGTCCCTTCCTCCTACGATGCATACACACCCTTCACTCATGAGGATCTACTCTGAATACTACTCATAGCTACATACTAACCCTCTACTACTAATGCTAACTCACTGGGCAGCTATGGCTGCATCACTTCCAGCGTATAGGCTTCTTCCTCCCTCCAGCGCATCTCCTATCTTCAGCGCTGCTCCTCCTGACTCAGCGCACAAGTGCACCAGCACTTCCACGCATTGCAGCCAGTGGAGATCTGGCGAGGAATGAGGCAGGCAGCTCCCTTTATAGTGCTGGCCACTCCTCGCTGGGTCTGTATTGGCTCAATTCGGCCTGTCCTTTGTCCCAGACCCTGCATTGCATGTGTCCCAGTATAGTCCCAATGAAGTTCAACTGCTGCTGAGGCCTCTTGGCCTGGATTTGGACTTGAAAGTCTGGATCTGGACTGACCCCTCGACTTAGACCAGAACTAGGAMTGTGCCTATTGACTTTACTTTCGAACAGGCACAACTCTAAACGARCAGACACATTTACTGCTTGAACAGACACTTTCCTTTGCACGAACAGGTACACTGCCTGCACGTACAGACACACTCTTACCCGAACAGACATGACATACACATCTCTTGGTGAACAGGTAAGTCYTTTGACAATGCCCTTTGCCTTAGATTTAGATGTGCCTGTTGATAGAGAACTTGACCTTTGACCTGCTTTCACGTTTCTGAGCTCTGGCGAGATACCTTTTCGCAATGCTTTACTTTTACAAGGCTCGTGTTGCTTTACTTTTGCAAGGCCTGAGGCCTATATCGGGTAAAGGCCCTTTTAAAAACAATAATTGCAGTAATGATAACTCCCGAATTTGAATTGTAAAGATTAGGTGTCCGTTGAGATCATCTATTGTCTGGGAGTTCACCGTTGAATAGTGAACTACCCGGAAGTTGCGATTCTGGGGGAACAATTACCAACAGTTTCCCAAAAAAAAATTCGGAAATTTAGGAAGAAAAACACTCGAATTTTCGAAAAACGTAAAATTTCGGGAATTTCAACCTACAAAATCCGATTTTTAAAGGCCTAAGTCCGTTTTCCTAGGCTGTTTTCCCGGTCCCCCGGGCACCCAACTTCTGCCCGGGTACATGCCCGGGTGCCCGGCCGGGCATGACCCCCGGGCAGGGTTCCGGGCAGCCCCAGCGCCAAAAAAAAACAAAAAAAAAAAACTCAAAAAATTCCAGAAAAAAAATATGTTGTGTAGGATTGAAATGCAAACCACTTTTGGCTGAGGGTCACATTATAATTCCTCACAGAATCGGAGATAAAAAAGAAAATAACAGAATCACACAAAGGCACCCCCCTTTAGACCCCTTTAGCCCCTTTAAATCCAATTTATACCCCCCTCCCCCCCCCTTGAAAGCCAACTCGCAAAAAACGGAATGAGCCCGGATTTGGAGTCCTCTGGGAGAGCGCAGAAAACCAAAAAAAAAAAAAAAAAATTTTTTTTTTTTTTTTTTTTTTTTTTTTTTTTGCACGTCTGGGTACCCCGGGCGTCACGCCCGGGTGCCCGTCCGGGCAGGACCGGCCGGGCGTGAGAATCTTCCTAGCCGTTTTCGGAATTTTTCAAACTTAGGGAAAGAAAAAAAAATTCGTGAAAATTTCGGAGTCCAACCCTAATTTTCCGCGATTCCGCGGAATTTCCGATTTTACGGTACCAAAACCTTCGAGTTTCCCAATTTGAACAAAATCCGACATCTATCGTAACCTTAATTTCCAATACTGAAATAAAACGGAAATACTGATTTAGAAAAACGAAATACAGGATTTATAACAGAATGCCGAAATAAAAACGGAATGCCGAATTGAAATCAGAATGCTGATTTACACAGAATACTGATTTAAACCTAATAACGCATTAGAATCAGAAATCCGATTCAAACCGAATATCGGATTAACCAGAATACCAATTAATCGGAACCCGAATTAAACAGAATACCGGATGTAAACAGAGATCCGAAGTAAAAATCCGAATACCGAATTGAAACGGAATGCCGAATTAAACAGAATAACGAAAAAAGAAAAAAAAAATGCAACTTTGAAACTCGATAGTAATACAGAGCTGATTTGGAAGATCGAAAAAGCAATCTATTCCTAAATCAGACTTACCTGGTGAGCAGATCCATCGTTTGGTCTGCTCCGATACCAAAACTGTTGCATACTCGTGAATACTTCAACGAGTATGGGGCAGAACCAAAGATCAACCAATATAGGATGAGCATGTATGCAGCGGAAGTCTGATGAATAAACTGACTCACATAGAYTGACTCACACAGAYATCACTCCACACACAAACAATCGTGAGATGGTGGGGTCTGAGCCAATCRTGGAAGATGCTCAGGCCCCGTACACGCATACACAGACGAAAGGTGGGAGGAGAGACGAAGGAGGTGGGAGATGTAGGTAGCGCCAGATGTCACCGAGATAGAATCCAGTAGGTCACCGATATGGTAATCCAAAATGTCATCGAACAAGATCAAATGTCGTGGAAAATAAGTCACCAATATCGGAGGTACAGAGTCCCAATGTAACCGGTGTCCAATCTGTGATGCTGCCGAGTATCAACCCCAACAATCTCCAAGTCTCGAAACCGGTAAGTACCACAGCCTCTTACCACCGAAGTCCAACACTGATCTCTGTCCAACTAGTATCAAGTATCCAGTCTGAAGAAGGAGAAGATGAAGTCTGAAGAAGAAGAAGAAGAAGAAGAAGAAGAAGAAGAAGAAGTCTGAAGAAGAAGGAGAAGAGATGGCAGAGGAGGAGGAGGTGAGGAGGAGAGAGCCGGGGGCCGTGGAGGGAGGAGAAGACCCCCTCGCCTCCTGGTACCTGGCGGTGCTGCAGTCCAACTGCAGGTCGCGGCTATGGCCGCCGTGCTGCTGGTGGCTGCTGCCTCGCTCCTTGCTCACTGCCGCTGCTGSGCTAGCTCGCGCTGCTGCTGCTGCTCCGTGCTGCGCTAAGAATAGWGCTGGCGCTGCTCCTGCTGCYGAACCGATACGACTGGCGCTCGAGCAGCGTCCCAGTGTTCGATGCCTCAGAATGAGGCCGGACCGGTCTTTAGTACCGGTGGACAGGAGGCCGGCCTCAATGCTGCGAGGCCTGGCCRTGACCTGAACCGTCGAGATCGTCGGTTCAGATMACACYGGCGGGCGGCAGCCTCAAGAGCGCCGCCAGGCCCAAACGGTAATGTCGTTTGGGCCTGCCCGTCGGGTCTGGTCCAAAGATGCGGCCTTTCGGCCTGCTGTACCCCAAGTCTGGGCCTTTAGGCCCTACTGTGTCCCTCTGGCCCTAAGTCGGGTCCGGTAGGACCCGTGTGGCGTCGAAGATGTAACACACGGGCAGCCCGTCCGAGTGCCTGGCTGGACGGGCCAGGTAACCCAATAAGTTACTAATAATAAGTATTAAAAATTAAAATGAATTAAATTAAATAAGCAAAGAAATAATCACCTGAAATATATTCCAAAAAAGAAGAAGACACCTATTTCTAAGCCCCTGAGGACTTTGTTGATTACCTTTTTCCTCATTGACTTGCGCGCCCACTGTCTCCAGAAAGAGAGTGACGAGCGCAGCTGACTTTCCTTGAGTGCCTTGGTGGCAAAATCCTTCATTTTCTCCTTCATTCTGCTAACCTTAGCCAAACACTCTTCCAGTTCTTGTTCCTTTTGAGCTCCCAGTTGTATCTTCTCTTTGTCCTTGGCCCGTTCTTTCTCCATTTCCACGAGCTGCAGCTTTGCCTGCATAAACATAGACGTCAAAATATGTTCATTGGACTTCATTCTTGAATCAATGAATTATTCACACATTGTCAAAAACAGGGCCCACATCTTATTTAGCTAAATCACCACTCAAAAACCATGGTCATGCTAAAACAATTCTGCAATGGACCGCTGCATTTGAGTCGGTGTACAGCTGGACGACCTTTGTGAGATTGTATTGCAAAATGAGTTTGCAAAAGAAGTGTTTCCCATGATTCATTGGATGGAGCAACCCTCACAAGCCGGTGGCCGCCTTTACCAAGGTAGAGAAAAATGTCATGTGCAAAGATGTGGAACCCTTCTTCTGTAGCGACTACAAGAGCGTTATTAGGACGGGGTGCTATTCCGTGGGTTGGAGCCATCGTGGTACGAGCCCTTGAGTAGCACCCTGAACAACGCTCTGAGCCACGAGAAGAACGACAGAATTATCGGTGTATGTCACTGGGATAACTCGGCCTTCGGCTGCCTGTTGCTGAGTCCACTTATGTGCAGCATTCCCCACTCCATGCAAAGCAGTATTGTGCAGTTTGGACGATACAACACCGCCTTGAGGGGAGGTTGCCAGAATCAGTCACAATGTCCGCTTCCTACTGGGCTCTTCTCATCACAGGAAATGGCTGTCTAGCTTTTCCAAGAGGAACAAAGTATCGATTTGACCAAGCATTTCACAATCTCATTAGACCACTGCACATGCCCATACCAGCGCGAGCCCCACATCCGCATCACAAAGGCACAAACATAAACATAGTGTAAATAATCTATCCAATTGCGATCACAGTGAGGTAAGACGGATTGACAGGGGACACCTCCTCCACTCACTTCAGTCCTCCTCTTCCCAGGCTTTTCCTCTACTTTTAGCGTTGGTGCCCTCCCGCACCTACATTTACATGAACTCCGGAGCACCGGCAGGTTGCGGAGGCGTGCAAAGGTAGGCTCACTCACGCTAGCGCCCCGATACGGTCACCAGGGATGGCTGGGAGCTCTCCTTCCTAGTACTATGGCAGGTCCTCCCTTGCATTGTCAAAACAATCTGACAAATATTTCCTTCCGAGTACCGACTTCTTCCTTACCCTGTAGACGGACCTGCAGTTCATTCCGTCCTGGGCTCGTCCAGAGCTTCCCTTGAACACAACGCTCGGTCATCGTTGGTGTACATGCGCCGTGTTCCTGGCGAGATGCAGTCATAATGGCCAGGTGCTGTCTTCAGGGGAAGAAGTGTAGTGCCATTTGATTGGCTTGGTCCATGCACAAGGATGCCAAACCTGTCGCCTGAAGATGTGTCCGAAAATTACCAGACAACTGCTCCCGGTCCGCATGTGGACCTGTTCAGGGCATACATTCCCATTCATCCCTGCTGATCCAAGACAACTGTTCCCGGTAGGCATGTGCACCTGGTTAGCAGTCTAGGACCAGGCCCTGTACAAGTTTTTATGTTATATATGTTTTTCCTACGCGAATGAAACGCACTCATCCTGGCACACAAATGGAAGTCAGTGTTTCATCCTCTGTTGCACAGGCCCTCCATCCCAAACGGTGAGTGTTTCATCCTCAGTTGAACAGACCTTCCGTCCGTCCCATTCAACTTCTTATTTTGTTTTTGCACACGAATGATGCACCGGTTAGGACATACATTCGTCCTGGTCCAAGACGACGGCTAGTCTAGGTAGAGGGCAGCCTTGGTCTCTAGGATGTCTGGGAGATCTCGGCCCTAGCAAAATCAAAAGATCCATTCGTAGGTCCAGGCAAATGATCATGTCGTCCCCCCCCCCAGCCCCCACCCAGGCCCCCCCACCCCCACCCCTCCCTCACCCTCCCTTTCTCCTTCCACTCCCTAATTAAAAGAGCAGAGTTGCGAGAAACAGTGATACGTTCAAACGCAAAATTGAAACAATGAGAGAGGGAGAGCTATATCAAGACTCGAGAGTCTTCTCGAAAAGAGAGCCAGAAGGCAGGGAGGGGAGGAGGGGATGTCGGCATGTCTTTCAACCTCTGGAAGTACCTGCCTGATCTAGGTGTTTTGAAAGCTCGGTGTTCCGTTGCTCCAGCTCCAACACCGCCTTACTCCTTTGCCACTGCCATTTGGAAGCAGTAGCTGGACTCTGTAGAAATCGAGAAATCGCGTAGACTTAAAAGTTTCAACTCAGAGAAAAACTGTGAAGGCAAAAGGAAAGGAAAAAACAAGCTTTGGTTCGTTACGCACAACAGTTCACCATTCTGTGAAGGTAAATTGTGAAGCTAAAGTAGCAGCTGCTTGAGCATTTGACAAACTAACACCATCCATTTCAAAAATAATTTGTCCTTGGGAAACACGAGCAATCCAACCTGTAGGGTTACCTGGAAGAAAAAAAAAAAAAAAAAGGGAAAGAAAAGCAGAGCGATAATACAGACGATACATCCATTTCATGGTTCCAAGCTTCAATAAACGTCTTCAATAAGCAGTTGCTGTAGCGATATCATTGAATGGATGTTATCACCACCCTGCTCATGATGACATGTACTCACTTTACATAGTCTAGTAAGTCTACCGACTCTACACCCAGCGGCAGGATGCTTCTGACTTCTTTTTTTTTTCTATTCTTTTTAGCCCATTTCTCGATTTATGAATGTCATCCTTGCGCAAGGGCCATGCTAATCTTCATTCTCTGTGTCGTTCCAATTTTAACGGATGTCCTGGAGGACAGGATGCTTCTAGGTTCAAAGTATTTCTAAGCTGTAATCTAGAGGCATGTGGATTTTATGAGGTCTCTGTTTATCCGGACCTTCTTTGCTGTATGTATTTTACTATTTTACTATTTTCTCATCCCTCAAGATGTATATGCCGTATGGCACTACTATAGTACAATATGCCCTTTTCCCCCTATCTTTCCTGTATTGTTTTCCAGTGTCCTGGATGCAGCTCTAAGAATTGTATTCTGTCTGTACCTGCTGTTAGACAGAATAGCACACTGCTTTCCACTCCCATCTATCAGTACAAAGCGAGGAAGGGGATACAACAGAGTGTAACACATGGACTACAACTGGGAAACTGGTTCTGGCCCTACAGCGGGTGCGACGAAGGGGATAAACAGAGTCTAGCAGAAGGAGTACTGCTGAGGAACTGGCTATGCTCCTACAGTGCGTGCGAGGAAGGGGATAAAATGCAGTGTAACGTTGGATGTGGTGAAGAGGGCCAAAGGAGGCTAATGTAAATGGCTTTGGGGTACACTGGTCCTCCAGCAGCACGGAGGCCAACTGCTGTGTACTTTACTGCCAAAAACGGATGGTGTTCGCTCCTGTTTAAAGCATGGTAGACATGTGGCATGAGATGTTTCTGCTAGTATGCTGTCTTCATCACAATTTTGCCCGGGACGCTGGACTGCTCAGTGAATCCTCTGGTCTCCAGAGTAATCAATGCTGGCAGGACTCTAACATAACCCTTTCCCTAACACATTTCAATTTCAATCTGTATTTGGGACGCTGGACCCGTTTTCCAGCAGGTGTTGCTCCCCACCAATAGATGGAGCCTCCCCTCAGGTGCTAGTGGTGTCTGTTCTAACCAGCACCACTAAACACTGAAAGGGGCGTTTTCCGTATAAAAAAAAAAACAAAAAAAAACAAAACAAAAAAAAAACAAAAAAAAAACAAAGGTCAACCCTTTTCAGAACAAAATAATGTGGACTCGAGGGTTGCATCGTTCTTTTTTTTGGGGGGGGACCATTTCTCGATTTATGTGTGTCATCCTTGCACAGGGAGGGGCCGTGCTGCTAATCTTCATTCTCTGTACGGTTCCAATTCCCGAAGGACAGGGTTGCATCATTCTTGAACACTGCCCTTTTACTCTTCGTATCTTGGGCTCATGCTATCGACCTACTAACCATAGTTGTGTTCCCGCATGATCTCGTAACTGGCGAGGCACGACAAATGAAACGGTAGACCATGGTAAGACATGAAACGGCAAAAAAAAAGAAAAAAAGAAAAAGAAAAAAAGACATGAAAGTTGATGAAACGGCACGACAAAGCACTGCCACAAGGCATAACAAAGCACTGTCAGGGATGGAAGCCTCCTGGACCTCCGAACAGCCATTTTTCATTAAAACTTAAAACTTAAAACCGATATTTTATATTTTTTGAACGAAATTGAAACCTACTTATTGGCCCTAAACAAAAAGTGTCACGGTTTCAGCTCTCCGTAGGGTCCCCCATTGGATGGACCTGAACTTCAGCTAAGTCCAGATTGATCCTCAGGAGTCAGGAGATAAACGGTGATTTTTTTTTTTGGGCCAAATATATTTAGTAATTTACTAATTTAGTAGGTTGCAATTTCGTTCAAAAAATATAAAATGTCCATTTTGATGAAATTGCTGTTTCTGGACTGTGGTAGAAAGCTCAGTCCTATCGTCTGCTGTCCTACACTATCCCATTTAAGTTTATGTAACCCATTCTGTAAGAAGCTCTAAAGACATGCTTTGGGCTGTTTAGGGTCGATTGGAATGGCAAGACACAATCTGTATTTCTGGTGCAACACAGGCCCATAATGATGAGCCAAAACGTTTTGGCTCATCTTATTGAAAATGTAGTGTGCCTAACCTGCAGGAAACTGATAATGCCCGCGACCCGGTTTCCAGCACAATGGCGTCACTCCCATTGATGTACTGTTTGGCAAAGATGTATCTAAGGGACGCTGGACCCGGTTTCCAGCAGGTGTTGCTCCCCACCAATAGATGGAGCGGCCCGCTAGGCAAAGCCTCAATCCTGGTGGTTCTCTTACCGCCACCAGGATGTGGTCTAGCGGCCCGCTAGGCAAAGCCTCAATCCCGGTGGTTCTCTTACCGCCACCAGGATAGAGGTCTTGCGCAAGGGCCTTTTGTATAAAAAAAAAAAGATCCTCTGGGACCCTATAGTTATGGAATCCGGATCCATACTTTCGGGACCCAGGCTCATCCGTGCACGCACGGAATCAAAACTGGAGCCCTTGCCCACAATAGCCAAGTCTCTTAACTACCACAGCCAGGAGGTGGTTGGTTTTTCAAAAGTGCAACCATACCCTCCCCGCACCACACACAACACCACACAGACAAGGCAGCACTCGCACACTTTCACGTTAGTACGGTAATTCACTTCGATACAAATGGAAGAACAACTTCTGTTGAGGTAGAGTCTGTGCTCTTCAATCCCTCTCCTGTCCCTCTCATATCCTATACTATCCCATATTGACCCTACCTTGTCTTATCCTGTCCTCTCCAAATTGTTTGCACATTTTGCGAACCATACTCCTATAGAGTCCTATCGTATCAATTCTATCCTCTCCTGTCTTCAACTCCATTCTCTCCTATTATGATTTTGAAGATGGCACACTCAAACTGTATTGTGTAAGTGGACCGTCCACTCGTTTACAAAAGATTTCACGACAAAGAGAATCTCAAGATATTTAATGTACCTAGACAAGCTGCAAAAAAGCACATGATAGTTCCGGAAGTGTACGCTTTTTTTCATAAATCTAAGCTGTGTACCTATTCATGCCAATCATATCCAACCCTGTCCTATCCGTCCTATACTATCCTATTCTTGCCTATCCATCCAGCAACAGGCAGCCAATTGCTGAGTTATCGGGCAAGATGAAAAGGCGTGCAAAAGTGCCAAAAGCATTTGAATCCTTCCAGTTTAGTCTTTAGTGTCCTATGACTCCTATCATATCCTTAACCATATCTCCTATCCTACAACATCCTCTTGTGCTTTACATATCCCTGGCAGTGATGGGCCTAGTAGTGACCATGGCTATCCCTCTCCTGTGCCCAGGATACGTGCAGCACAGGAGATCTCAGTTCCGACCTGGGATGCCAACCCCCTTCTTCTCTTCTTCTCTTATACCCTAAAGGAAAAAGCGGTCCGTGTGTGACGCTCCCGCTGGGCCCAGCGAAAATCGGGCAGGGAGGTCCGCGCGCGGTGCCGCAGGGGACCAAGGAGGTCGCGACGTTTGGGGAGGCCGGTAGCCGGCTGTCGCAGGGTCCCGTCGGAGTGGGCCGGTAGCGTGGCGGGCCGGTCGGGTGGACCGTCGGGAGTCGGTCGGCAGTGGGGCAGGGCGGTTGGGTGGACCGAGGGCGGAGAGGGCTGATAGCGTGGTGATAGCATGGTGGGGCGGTTCGGTGGACCGCGGGCGGATCGGCCCGATAGCGTGC